TGGGACTATTTCTCACCTGAACAGAACATTACTAGAGTGTCAAATGGAGGAGAGAAGGCATAAAGTAACTATTATAAATTGTTCCTAATGGTTGAAAGGACTCCTGGTGTGGCACTGTACGATCAGCACTGGACTGTGAACCACAAGGTCGGCAGTTTAAACTCACCAGCTGCTCCTCAGAAACCCCATACACAGTTGCTATGAGATGAGTGGGAACCAACTCAGTGGCATTTAACAACAGAGGTTGAAAAGTTAATTGCTGTGTTTTTACTGGCAGGTTAATAATATGCATATCTACTGAAAGATAGGTGCATAATACAAAGTCTGCATCTAGTTACTGGCTTTTTATAAATCCTTTCCTAAAACAGGAGTATAATTGATGCTACTTTAGAAATTCCTGATTTAGTTACAGTTGAACTTTAACTGAAGAGTAAAGATATTAAGGAAAAGAATATGACCACCAATATAAAAATCAACCTGTCCAACCACACAAATTTGAAAGGATAAGTCATTCGCCTTCAAAGTGACTTGATCTCCCTTAAAAGAATTTCTAATTTTAGATTTTTACATTTTCATGTCAACTTTTTTTTTTTTTTGCCCCAAGTGGAAGGACCATCCTGTTGCCGTATGAATGAAAAAAATCTGTTTCATGACTAACCCCTAGCCCAGCCCCAGGTCAGAAGTTATTCAATTAAAGTTCCATTTTGTTAGTGCCAGGTTCATAAGCTTTGGATCAGTGAAGGATGACAATCGAAGGCTCTAACCATTTGTTGGCTGTGACTTCCTGTGCCCAATTGCATTCACTTCCTCTTCTGCAATGATGGAGTACAGTTTTGAAGATCTCTTCCCTCTACTGGAAGGCTTGCCATTGTCATGATCTGAATCTCTTTTGTAATAACCTCCTCTTTGCACTACTGAGGAAAGGGGATTCAATTTACCCTTTATATTAGCAAAGACATAAATGTGTTGACATCAGTGTAAAAAATCATAATAGGAAAAGTTAACTATCATCTTACCCACCCCACTTAGGATTCAAAGGACCTATAGTGTTGGTCCTGGGCAGATCTACCATTATTTACAGAATTCAACAGCCAACATTATGGAAATGTCGTGTAAAATGAGGTGAGCTCTGAATCTGCCCCAAAAAGGTTCTAACAAAAAAGCTTCCCAGTGTTACCATTTTGATTCCACGATGGATGAATGGAAATCACATTCACGATGGAATAGTCCAGAAGAATCACAGTGATTTACCTGTTTCAGAAATTAGTTGGGCACACTAGTCCAGAGGGAGGCACAGGATAAGGAAATGGAATAACCAGCATGAATAATGTACAAGAAGATAAGAAAAAGCACACGAGGAACATTTTATAAAGAAAAAGACAAGGCTCACAAGTGGCTGTCATCCCTGGGCCACCTCAGCAAACAAGCTGATAAAGAAACTGGAGTCAAAATCTGACCACCTTGGACATTTGCAACCTGGTCTTAGACTTCATGCATTATTTTCAGTTGTCCTTCAATACAAAGTGGACATCAGAATAGAACGATCTCTGTGATTAGCTTACTCTGGATCCCAGAGGAAAGTCAATGTTCTCCATAGTTCCACAGTCCCCATCATCCAACTGGAAAGATGGAGGCAGAAACTATTCTTAGTATTTGTTATTACCAGGAGGGAGGGAGGCAACTGGATGTCTATCATGAAAGCAACTCATTCTATTTCATTTCTCATCTTCCCAGGGAAAGAAAACACAACCTTTTCACAGCAGTTAAAGGCACACTGGTGGCATTCTATATTTTACCCATTTTATTAACCCTCAGAAGGTCCATGATACACATTCTTACTCGCCTGGCTTGTGGGTTACTTTAAGGCTTGTGAGTTACGCTAGAAGAACATCTATTGGTATCTAGAAGACATCATTCCCAGAAAATTACTTTTTCCTCAACCTTGTGACTTTAAAAAATCAAAAACCCTTCCATATTTTTTAAATGGCTTTAGGCAAAAGGTAAGTTTCTCACCTCCCTAACTCTCTCTATTGGATTCCTTCAGACATTTCCAAAACTTCCTTTGAAGTAAAGTTGTCAAGTAAGCCTTTGTGGACAGGTGGGAAATGGAGCCTAGCAGTGGGGGAGGGGCTATGTGGTGAGATAAGGGTAGGGGTGAAGGGGTACTTCCACGATCAGGTAAGGAACCATTAGAGGCAATTCCTCCTACTCCAAGACTTCCAAAAACTGTGACTATAATACTGAACCCTGTATTGATTTACTCCCTGTGAAATGAGCATAGGTGCCAGACACCATTGATAACTTTAGCTTCTTTGACAGAAATGGTTTATTAGTTTTGGCCAAAACCCAGATTCTTTAATCAGAGACAATAGACGACTAAGACTAGGGAGCCTGCACTCACCAAATGAATCTATGGAACGGATAGGAGAATGGAGGCAATATCATTATTCTTCTTACTTTTTAACCTGTTGCTGTTGTTGTTAGGTGCCAACGAGTCAGTATAGACTCATAGTGACCCTATGCACAACAGAATGAAACACTGCCTGGTCCTGTGCCAACCTCACAATCCTTGGTACACTTGAGCCCATTGCTGCTGTGACTGTGCCAATCCATCTCATTGGAGGTTTTCCTCTTTTTCTCTGACCTTCCACTTTACTACACATGATATCCTTCTCCAGAGACTGGTACCTCTGGATAATATGTCTGAAGTATGAGAGATGAAGACTGGCCATCCTGGCTTCCAAGGAGCATTCTGGCTGTACCTCCTCCAACACAGATTGGTTTGTCTTTTCCAAGTCCAGGGTACTTTAAATATTCTCCTCCAACACCATAACTTAAATGCATCAATTAGTCTACAGTTTTCCTAATTCACTGTTCAACCTCAATAAATGAGGTTATTGAAAATACTATGGCTTGGGTTAGGTGCACCTTAGTCCTCAAACTGATACCTTTGCTCTTGAACACTTTAAAAAGGTCTTGTGCAGCAGATTTGCCTAATGCAATACACATCATTTGATTTCTTGACTGCTGCTTGCATGAGTGTTGATGGTTGATCTGGGCAAAATGAAGTCTTTGACAACTTCAATCTTTTCTCCATATATGGACGTTGTTTACTACTCCAGTGGTGAGGATTTCTGTCTTCTTTACATTGAGGTGCTATACTGAAGGTTTTGATCTTCATCAGTAAGTATTTTTAAGTCTTCTTCACAGCATCTTGAGGGTGTTAACGAGTCTTCTTCTAATTCTGATAACCACATTGTTCTTCATATAATCCAGCTTCTAGGATTATGTGGTCAGAATACAGAATGAATAAGTATGTTGAAAGAATACAACCCTGGTGCACACCTTTCCTGATTTAAAACATTCAGTGGGTTCCCTTCTACTATTTGAACAACTGGCTCTTGGTCTATGAACACGTTCCTTATAAGCACAATGAAGTGTTCTTGCATACTCATTTTCTGCAATGTTGTCCATAGCTTGTCATGATCCACACAATCGAAAGTGTCTGTATAGTGAATAAAGCATGGGTAAACATCTTTCTGGCATTCTCTGCTTTCAGCCAAGATCCATCAGACATCAGCAATGATGTCCCTCATAACAAGCCTTGTCTGACTCTGGTTTGGACCTCTGGAAGTTCTCTGTCAATGTACATTTGCAACTGTTTTTTAATTATCCTTAACAAAATTTTACTTGTGTAAGATCTTAAGATACTGTCTGATGACTTTCTCATTCCATTGGGTCACCTCTCTGAAACGAGCACAATTATAGATCTTTTCCAATCAGTTGGCCAGATAGCTGTCTTCAAAATTTCTTTGTTATAGAAGAGTGAGTGCCTCCAGTGCTTCATCAGTTTGTTGAAGGATTTCAATTTGTATTCCATCAATTCCTGGAGGCTTGTTCTTTGCCAATGTCTTCAATGCCCCTTGGACTTCTTCTTTCAGTATCATTGGCTCTTGATCATAAGCTACCTCTTGAAATGGCTGAATATCGACCATTTCTTTTTGGTATAGTGACTCTGTGTATTCCTTCCACTTATTAGACTTTCAAAATACAAAGACAGTACTCAAACACTTTCCCGCTATTAACCCCAAAAGACTATATATATATAAAGGACAATGTGGGAAGAAGTCAGAGCAAGCAAGATAGAGAGAATTCTAAAGTATCAAATAAATTTAAAATAAAACCAAACAACCCCAAGCTACAATGAGAACCATCTAGAAATGGGATGGCTTGCTTGGATCTAGAAGTTCTTTACAAGAGGAACTTAGAGGCAGTGTTGATGCCTCTAGAACCCCAATGTCTAGAGTAATTTTAAGAGAACAGGTGACGTGGGTGAAATAAAAGGCTGGTTTGCTGACGCTACCTCAACCACCCTTCACCTTCACAGATGCCCACTTTTGATTTGATTCTAGGAGGAAGCATTCAAGTCATGGGATATTCTTGCTCTGCTCCTACTCCAGCAAACTAGAAGAGGCAAATTGGTCTGATGAGACCCCTCAGAGTGTTCATGATGCTGTTGAACATCTAAGAATGAGGAATGTTTGATCGTAAGACCAAGAGAGCACAATGAGACACCTGTTCTCAGGACTTAAGGAGCTGCTCCTGAACCACACTGGAAGGAAGGGTGACTTACCACACTAGGGGAAGCTTTCCTGGGGAATATTAAGACCTAGAAACCTACAAGTAGCACCAAATGAGTTACGAAATATTTTTAAGGAGCTCACGAACATCCGGGAATCACTTTTATAAAGAAGTTTGATGTTAGGACTGGGTGTCTATATCAATTATGCTTTTTTGCTTTTTGTTATATGGTCCTTCACTAAGACCCAATGTCATCAATGTTAAATCGAGTTTCTCAACAAAGACACTACTCTAATTTCACAAATTTCATACATGGGATGCTGACGTAACTTCAGAATTCATTAAGTCTAAGATTAGTTTCCTTCTGTTGAAATGACCCTCCGTGGGGAGAGAACCAGACCAGAGAAGAAATGTCTTACCTTCGTGGGAAAATGTCCTAGGACTGGGCTGAGGGCTGCCCTGGCCATCTCGCTCTTTGTCTGAAGGAACTTTTTTCAAGATGGGTGGAAGAAGAGCGACTTTAGGGGAACTAGGACCAGATGGAGAGTCTGGGATGTCCTCTGTGGAGACACAAACATATAAATTAAACTGCCTTCCAAGAATATTCAGTATTGCTGTTGTTAAGTGCCATCAAGTCAATTCTAACTCATAGCTACCCTGTGTAGGGTTACCAAGGAGCAGCTGACAGGTTTGAACAGTCAATCTTTGGGTTATCAGTCCAGTGTTTATCCTGCAACAGAGCTCCTAAATACAATGACGAAAATAAAGTAGCACAGGATTCTTCTGGCCCAAAATTAGTTTTATATCTCTGCTTAGTGAAATAACATCCACCAAAAATAAAAATAAAAATAAAAATGAATACTTATAAAAGGTTAAAATCTGCACAGACAGGAGTCTATCCTGCAGACACGGAATTTCAGTGAGTTAACATTGGAAAATTAGATCTGTAAGTGAACCAAATGTGCCTTCTGTCTCTAACACAAAGGCTGGTTTGGTTTTCTATTAGAAATTAGTTTGCTAACCTCAGTCTCAATATACTAAGAAATAAATGAACACAACTGACTCCACAGCACACCACCTACCACCACATATCCAAAAGTTTGTGTAAACAATATTTATGCCGTGGAAGACAATGATCATGGACTTTAGATAGTATTTCCTTTTAATGGCCTTTGATGTCCATGTGTTACAGTTGTCTATCTAGTACTTCAGACATAAACATGATGTGCTGTGAAAATAATAATAAATGAATAAAAACATTCTATGGATTATTGGATATCCAGCTAGTTTTATATTCATCATTAGCAACTTGTTGTTGTTGAGTGCCATCCAGTTGGTTCCAACTCAACAACATCAAGAAGCCAGGGAGTCAAAATACTCTATCCACTATATTATTAGACATGTTGTATATGAGTTATTTAAGGAGCTCTGGTAGCATAGTGGTTACAAATTGGGCTGCGAACTGCAAGATCAGCAGTTCGAAACTATCAGCTGCTCTGCAGGAGAAAGATGAGGCTTTCTGCTTCTGTAAAGCTTTCCAGCCTCAGAAACCCGTGTAGGGTTGCTATGCATCTGAACCGACTCCACAGCACATCACAACAACAACATATGAGTTATTTCCTTACTTCAGAGGAGAGATGTAACCAGCTGACCATATCAGCTTTCTGGTATGAGGTTATCATTTGAAAATATCTCTTAGTAAAAAAACTTCATTTTAACCTATTTTCTTTGTGTCTTTCCTCCCAATTCCTTCTCTTACGAAGTTACTTTGCTTGTCTCAAGAAAAAATTTATGTGATTCATCAGGGAAGAATATTTAGCTTGGTTTGTGAAACCTACTGAGCAGAGTTAGGAAGGATTTTGGCATAAACCATTAAGCACTGGGCTACTAGCTGAAAGGTTGGTGGTTCAAACCTACCCACAGACACCGCAAAAGAAAAGCCTGGGGACGTGTTTCAGAAAGGTCTCTCAGCCTTGAAAACTCTGTTTAGCATGGTTCTATTCTGCACACCTGGAGTTGCCAGGAGTTGGAAATGGCTCCACAGCAACTGGGGTTTGTGTTGTTTTTCGGTCTGTGTCATTTTGTCATGTGCACAGCCTCTGGCAGTTTTCCCAGGATCTCCTCCTGCAGAATACGCCCCACTCAACATGTTGACCAAAACCAAATCCAAACCCACTGGTTGTGGAGTGTGGATTCTGACTCATAGCAGCCCCACAGGACAGAGCAGAAGTTCCCCATCGGGTTTTTAAGGCTGTAGATCTTGACTGTAGCAGACTGCCACATCTTTCTCCCTCAAAGCAGTTGGTGAATTTGAACTGCCTTTTGGTTTGCAGCTGAGTTGCTTTAGCCACTGTGATATCAGTGCTCCTATATCTTTACTACAATTCCTAAAACCATCTGTGAGGCTCAGATCCTCTGGGAAAAGTACTTGGTCAAAGTTGGCTCCTTGGTCAGCAGTACACTTACCTGGCCTCGAGGCAGTCCTTGGCTTCTGTGGAATGCTTGGCCGGGCTGCCAGGCTGGGCTTGGGGGACTGAAGGAGGGGCTTTGGGCTGGCTGGTGTGTTGGAAGAGCTTCGCGGCTTGGAGCCCACATCTACTTTGGGTTCTGTTTTGGCGTTCCTCTCTGGTGTCGACAAACCAAAGCGGTTATCTGGGAGCAGTTTCGGCACTAAAAGGAAAATGGGGACAAAAAGCATACTTTACTTGTTCAAACCCACCAGCTGCTCCTTGGAAACCCTACACAGGGTCACTATGAGTAGGAACTGACTCAATGGCATGCAACAACTACAACAACAATGCACTTGAAGCCTTCAGATCTTTCTTGGTTTGGGCCTGAGGTACAGGGATAACCAGCTGGTCTGTGCCTCAGTTCTAGACATTAATCTTGTAGAGCTCCAGCTACAGACCCTGAGTAACCATGGAAGGCTAGGCGGATGGCTGTCTCCTGCTTCTGTACCTTTTGCTGCTTTAACTTAGCCAGACGATGGCAAAAATAAGCAGCTTAAATATCATTATAATTATAACATTATATAATGTTTACTCAGTGCATGAATACACAAAGGCTCAGCACAAGAATGTCAAATAGCAAACTGAGGTTTCTAATTTTTAATTTTCAAATCCCTCACTAATAGGCCTCACTCTTTTAAAGAAACATCAGTCAGATGTCTGCCTTTTCCCCCTCCTTAAAAATGCCCACAACTGGGAATTCTTGTCATAGAAAAAACGAATCTGCATTTCCTCCCTTTGGGAAACTGGTAAAGCCGCACTGCCTAGGCACAGGTGATGGCGGTGGGAGACTTGCTCCCAGGTGGAGGTGAGTGAGGTGCAGGGATGCAGTCTTCTAGGGGAAAGTCAGGAGCACACACCACAGAGGCTCCTTCTCACCTCTCCAGCTATAGTTTCCTTCTTTTGAACACATAAGATTTCTAGAATCTGAACGTAAGAGATGGTGGGCAAGGGACTGACTTACCAGCTCCACTTCCATCCACTCGTTCTACGCTGCTCAAGGACATGCCAGAAGAATCTGGAGAGATGGTGTCGTTCCCAAGCTTCTAAAACAAAAGCCAATCACCATCCCAATTTAAAAAAAGAACATTAATGTGCAAAGGGAAAAACAAACAAAAACAAATGACAGTGAAAAGTGGCTCCTTAATTTTACTGCTATGACAGAGACTATATCTGAATAACCTATAACCTGCGTCCCTGAGATTCTTCCAGTGGGACAAAGCGTGAGAATGGGACTCTGTTCTGTGTTTATAGCTCTGTTCTGCGGTCCCAAGTGTGGCTGGATCTCAGGAGCTCCCACAGATCTGACGTTGGGGGGGGGGGGGAACCGTGGGTTTGGTGAGATTTCCTGTTTCATTGTCAACACCTAGGCAGGTTCTGCAGCCACTGATAATCCATGTTTCTGCAGGTGCTGCAATGGGGGTGCTTCCTCTCTATAAATTTACGGGACCCTCTCTAGGTTTAGTCTTCTATAATCATTTTTAAAAGCAGCAGAAACCGTAAGAACCTCACTGTGTAAGTGAAAGGGGCTGCTTGGAATAGAGGTAGCACCTCAGGACACAGATGTATTTTGATAAAAGGCAAATATGATGAGTACAGATGAACAGAGTTCGGATGACATGAATTATAAAAAGAGCAAGAAGTGCAAGCAGGAGACTGTGACAGCAAAACCAGAAAAGGTTAAATGCCACAGTCTCGGGGCAGCAAGTGACGTAGCTAGGCATCAGCCTCTCCCTTGGATAAGTTAAGGCGCAGAAAGACCATATTCACGTGAGCTGTTTATAGACAAAAAACAAAATCCCAAACTGGTTGCCATTGGGACAATTCTGATTCATAGCAGTCGGTGTATTATAGAGCAGACCTGCCCCATAGGGTTTCCAAAGCTGTGACTTTTTAGAAGCAGACTGCCGAGCTTTTATTCAAAGGTGCCTATGATGGTTCAAATCCTCACCATTCAGTTAGTGCTCAAGTGCTTAACCATGGGTTTGCAAACAGTGGTGCTGTGGGATGAAGCACTGGATTGCAAGGTCAGTTTAAACCGCAAAGTTGGTGGTTCAAACTCATCCACCACTCCTTGGAAACCCTATACAGGATCGCTATTAGTCAGAACCAACTTGATGGCACTTAACAACAGAGGGTGGGTTCAAACCGTCAATCTTTCAGTTAATAGTTGAGTACTCAACTGTGTGCTTGCAAGCAGTTTGCACATATGACATGGTAGGATCAGCTCTGGACTGCTAATCACAAGGTGAAACCCACCAGATGCTCCTCAGAAACCTTATACAGGGTCACTATGAGTTGGAACTGATGCAACAGCACTTGACAACAACTAAGCTAAAGGTTGGTGCTTTGACCCAACTAGGGTGTCATGGAAGGCAATCCTGGTTATATTCATCCTTAATGATTACAGCCAAAGAAACACTACAGAGCAGTCTTATGCTACAATGTTGTCGTTGAGAAGTGCCATTGAGTTAGTTCCAACCCATAGCGACCCTGTATAGGGTTTCCAAGGAGCGGCTGGTGAGCTTGAACCACCGACCTTGCAGTTCAAATGGCTTTTCAGTCTGGCGCATTAACCCACAGTTCCACACCAGGACTCCATTATATACTATGCTATAACATGCTATTACATATTACGCTATAATTCATGCGGTTAACTATGAGCTGGAATCAACAGCAATCGAGTAGATACAAAGAAGATATGAAAAGTAAAGTCGTGTATTTGCTTAATATGGATGGATCCTACTGACAAAGATGATCTGCATCTCCCTTCTGTATGAACAATATAAATGAGGTGGGCAGGGAGACCCGAAGGAGCAATGGCGCTTCTGAGGTCTTTGGCCTAGTAATTTCTTCTCATCTAAGTGTCTGATTAACTTCAACAATAACAAAAGTCCCAGAAAAAAACCCTCAAATTCACTTCCACTGAGTCAATTCTGACTCAAAGGGATCCTATAATCCTATATAGGGTTTTCCAAGACTGCAAATCTTTACAAGAGCAGAAAGCCTCATTTTCTCCCAAGAAATGGCTGGTGGGTTTGAACTGTTGGCCTTGCAGTTAGCAGCCCAGTGCTTACCTTGCAAAGCTCCCTCTGAGAAACCTAGTAGGTGAATGTCTCCTGCCAAATTTTCACTTAAAATGCTTTAGATGTTGTTGAGTTCCATTAAGTCACTCTCAAGTCCACCAAGTCCCAGTCAGGACAAGCAGAGAATGCATTAGTCAATGAGCTGAAGCTGTCTAGTGGCTGGGCCTGGCCAAACCTGCAGTCCATAATGATTGGTCATGTCAGTTCTGTGCGCAGACAAAAGTCATTATACGAAATACTGAAACAGGGCCAGGATGGCTGTTGGATGTCATGGAGTTGATTTTCAACTCTAAGTGACCTATGTGACAGAATAGAACTGCACCATAGTTTTGTACAGTTGCTCTGAGTTGGAACTGACTCAGTGGCAGTGAACAATAACAATCGTTACAGAAGCAGATTGCCAGGTCTTTTTCCCATGGAGCTACTGGGTGGGTTGGAACCACCAACCTTTTGATTAGCAGCTAAACTCTTAACCATTGCACCTCCAGGGCTCCTTGGGAAATATTGGGGTTCACCAAATGAGAACCTACAGGCCACACAGTTGATGGAGACTCACTTTCAGGCTCCTGAAACTACAGGGTTAGCTCCTGAGAGTGACTCTTACTCATAGTGGTCCCATGTAACAAAGGAGAAGTGGATGGATGGGGTGCTTTGGGCACTAAGCTTGCTCAAAGAAGCTTTTAATGGCGGAAGATTTTTTTCCCCTTCTTGTTCTTCCTAGGCTTCTTGAGGCGGTTCTAAATCCCCACAATGATTATGTGGACTAAAGATAAAGTAATGCCAGTTGTCTTCATGTGCCTATAGCTACCTAGATAGTACCTATGACCTCTAAGCACTCAAGACTTGCCCCATTCCTATGTTATTAATAATAAATACGACAATTTCATTCTCACAGTTCTTCATTAAATGCATGTGAATAAGGAGCACTGTTTAGTGCTAGATTGTTAACCAAATGGTTGATGGCTTGATTTCACCTGGAGGAGTTGACTCTGGAGGTAAAAGACCTGGATCTACTTCTGTAAAAACTACAGCCTAGAAAACCTATGGGATAGTTTTACTTTGTTACATGCAGTCACTATGAGTCAAAACCAACTCCATGGCACCCAACGACTACAGATGTGAACAATGTAAAGAGAAATACTCAAGGAAGGCGAAAACACCTTATGTATATATACGTTTATCAACAGTATGTCGACTCCGACATTGCTGCCTTTACAAAAAACAGTCATGGCACTTTAGGGGGAAAACATCATACAATTACAAAAAGACCCTCCTCTTACTAGTTACTAATCTGATGGGTCTGATTTAAAATACTGTATTTAACGATTGTTGTTGTTTTAAACAGACACTAGATGGAGCCAAGGGATCATTAAGGAAAATGGCCTTGAGTAAGTACAGATACTAACCCATAAGGATTGTGTCAGTGTGAGCTAATTTATATATCAAATCCAAGGCATAGAGAAAACAAAACAAAGCAAAGCAAAACTCTTTTATCACTTCTCTTCCCTCCAAAAGGCAGCTGCTCATGGATGGAAACTGTGCTAAACTAAACAACTCATTAGTGAAAACAGCATATCCGTTGTTATATATATTTTAAAAAATCCATAAATCGAATAACAGCTTACACATTTACTTGGGTATCTGAATCGCCAGTGGTGAGGTTACAGTATTTGTTCAGAGTTCTGAGTAGTGAAGGCCCCATCAGGCGTCCCTTGTTGAGTTAACTCTTCCCTAACAGCTAATGAGTGAAGTCCAGTGTGGTCTCTGACTAGCATATTGCTATACAAATGAGCTCCATTCCTAAACTTGTCTTTAGTTGAATTTGTACAGAAATAGGTACAGTTTTGTATCTAATATCAGTTAGTCTTATACATATTTCTTTATGCATAAAAAAACACTAAAGAAACACTTCCAGAACACCAAAACATCTCTAACATAACAGTAATAATAATAATGTTTTGATGCATGTTGCAAAAGTAGCGCCTGTTTATTATTAAAAACCATTGTATGTACCTCAGATATTTAATATAATAAGCTTTCCAGGGGTTCCCAGAAAATTAGGGACTGCCTGTACAATATTGGTGCTGGTGGGAGACCCATGTTGTAAAATTTGTTGTAAAATTACATAGGATGCAAGTGTTAATAGAAATGAATTCATTGTTTAAAAATAAAAGTAAACTAGTCCTTCACACCTGATATACTGTTCACTATTTACTTTCTGAAAATCAAAGGTTCATTAGGGGAAGCTGCTTTATTCTGACATTTCAAATAAAATAAATTAGGAGGTTTTCTTATCTATTTAAATTTAAATAGATAATGAATTTAAAATTTGGAGAACTCAGATTTTAATAATAAGAAGAGCTCAGGATAATGCATAGAAAACATAACCTGGGTTAGCCTCGGGTATATTAATCTTAATGGCAGCAAACAAGGATGCAATCCTTCAAGTACCTATAGCAGTAAATAGAGGTAAGAAGAAAAAAAAGACACCTTATATTTACAAAGAACATTCAAAGACTAAATAATGCTTTAAAGTCAAAAATTTGGGGGCATCCATAAATTTTTAGATTGCACAACGAAATTTTTCATGAAGAAACTAGGTAACATTTTGCTCTGTCCCATGAGCTGAAGCCAACTCAGTGGAAATTAACAACATGTTTTTCTTTACAGTAATAGGCAATATATGTCAATGATCAAGTATTCGATACAGTCTAATTATAACAGATTACCTTGATTTTCTGTTCCTGTAAAGTGTTACAGCCTCGAAAACCCTATACAGGGTTGCTATGAGTTGGAACCAACTCCACGGCACACCACCACCACCCTGACTGTGTGTGTATGGCCTTTTCAAATTTGGAGTGTAGCAAGAAATGTTTAGGTTGAAAACAACAATCAATTACAATGGAAAAACAGATCCTGCCTTTATATAAATAGTTATAATCTGGATGCAACTATTCTATTTGCCTGTCAGTTCTGTCTCCAGTCTCCCTTAGGACTCCATTTAGATTCAGTGGTCTTGGTCTTTCCCCAGATTTGAGTGTTTCCCCGGGAGCAGCTCACACTAATCTACACAGCTCATTAGTGACACTCTCAGAAGGCACATGGGCAGGTGGGAAAAGGCTGGTGCATTCTCATCTATGACCTATCTTCTTCACATGCTGCGGCTCTCCAGAAGAACATGGCTCTAGTACTGGTCAAACACACAGCCATGCCTTCGTGGTCTGCATTCCTGGTCTTATATGAGTAAGTCTTTTGTTTTGGGCTTCTATTTGGCCAACAGGCCATCTTTCTGTACCACTCTTGTTCAGTAAAAAAGAAATAAAGAGCAGACAAAACCACAAAATTAATCATGTCAGAATGGGCCGCCCCTTACCTTTTGTGCACAAGCAGCTCTCCTCTCCTGCTTGGCTTTCATCTCCGCCAGCAGAACACTGCCCATCATCTGGATCCCGTACCTTCGCCCTCCCTGGGGGCTGCTCTTACTGTCACTCCGGTCCACCTTCCCCATTTCTTCTCCTTGACTCTCTTCAAGGGAGTCGGGTGTTTTGATCTCCTCTACCCGTTCAGAATTGCCATTGTGTTCAGCTGGCTTTGTGTCCTTCTTGGGTGTATCTGTAGCTGGACCTTTGCCTCCTCCTTTTGGTGATGAGGGCTCTTCACTCATCAGGACAGTTGGTGGCCGGTCAGACTTAGATCTAGATTTGATTAAATTGAGAAAGCCACTTTTCCGAGAATCTCGCTTTTTCTTTTCATCCCCTCCTTCACTAAGCTCGTGGGATTCTGATCCTCTTGCTGACGATCTCCTGCAATTCAAACCAAGATAGAAACTCTGTTGGTTGTACTACAACAGGTTCCAGCAGGAATCATTCAAAATATAAATACAGAAATTTCTACTTATACAGTAACTGTGCTAGGGCATTTTAGAAAGCTGATTCAGGTCCATGTACCTAGGAGATAAAGGACAACATGCAATATTATCACCATATTCACAGATGAGAAACAAGAGGCACACAGAAATTAAGAATGAGAATCTGAAGATGCTGGTGGTACGTCTTAGAGCAGAGATGAGGCATATTTTTAAGTGCTCTAAATTCATGTGCCTCTCTACCTTTGACAACTACTAATAAAGATGGCTTCACTGAAGACATAGGTGGATAACTTACCTTCTTTAATTTGGGGACACTGGAAAGGGACAGATTTCCTCATAACGCCCTAGCAATGCTTCTATAGTCACTGCATAGTATCTGGAAGACCACCCTGAGTGCTTAACCTAAGGAACGACTTAGGTCCTTGCTTAAATGTAAAGCCACTGATTGAGGCAATGAAACGAAGACACAGAGAATGAGCTTTGGTAGAGAGTTGTCAGGAAGAGAATGCTTAGAAAGTTTGGGAAATGGGTGAAAAGAGAGTAAATAAAATAGACTAAGTGGGAGGTATTACAAACAATTCTTTCATTAAAGATAGCAGATTGAACACCTATTTTAACTCCTGAGTCCCAGTTAATGTGACAAGAAATTTAAAAACAAAGCAAAGCAAAACAAAAAACAGGGTATAAACCCAAAGAACAACAAAATTTGGAAGCCAAAATTGTCACAAATTATTATTCATTTGCTGTTATTAAGTGTCCTTGAAGCTATTCTGACTCATAGTGACCCTATATAGAGTTTTCAAGGAAACCATGGTTAGAAGTCCAATGCTTATCCTATAGCACCACACTAGGAATCCAAGTATTCATTGAAAAGAATCAATAAAACTGAAACCTAAACTATCAGGGAGAGGCCCAGAGCAAGCTAATTCTAAAGCATTGATTTAGAATCAGAAGTAGCAAGCCTCTGGAATTAGAAGTGAAAGTGGGGCTTAAAAGATGACATCTGGTTGCAACTATGAGGAGGGTGACTAAAGAACTGAGCTGATACCAGACACAGTTGTTAAGTGGATTCTGGTCCATGGTAACACAGGGTTTTCAAAGGCTGACTTTACAGAACTAAATCTCTGCGTCTTTCTTCTGAAGCATCTCTGGGTGGACTTGAACCTCCAATCTTTGGATTAGCAGTACAGCACATTAACTGTTGGCACCACCCAAGGATTATTCAGTGGAAAATGGGAGGCTCATAAAAACTACATATTGAACAGTGATACTTCCCAGCTGTTTTCTCTCATTCTGGGGTGGCCAGGTTTATACTTTCCAGGAAGACCATTAGAGTTCCTGACAAGCCCATCAGAAAAGAACGACAGATTCTGACAATCAAGAGAGGCTCCTTTCCCAACACAATGATTCAAGATCAGTCTACACTGAGTCCTCTTTCATAACACAAAATCTCCATGAAACAAAAATAAGATAAAAATGAGATCATGGAAAAACTCAAGGATGAAATGCATGAAAAAACTCAAGGATAGAATATATACAATTGAGGATATCTCCTAGAAAGTGAAGAAATATTTACAAAAACAAAAAAACTACAAAGAATGAGAAAATAGGAGAGAAAAGATAAGAAAATCAGTGGATTAATAGAGAAAAAGTATATGATTCAGATAACCTAAGTTCAAGAAAGAGTACTGAGAATGGAGAAGGAAAGAAATTAAAAATGCTTAACTCAGGAAAATTTCCAGAACCAAACGACATGAATGTCCAGATTGAAATGGCTCCCCGAGTGCCCAGCTAATTTAGTAAAAACAAACAAAATTACCCATGGCACAACATTTCAAAAACACTGAGGACAAAAAATGATCCCAAATGCTTCAAGAGAAGAGGTAAAAATTAGAACAATAAAAGTTACTAAGGTCAGGACTCAGGATCTGCTTGATAGCAACGTTGGAAACTAGAAGACAATGGAACAAAGTTATCACACTTCTAAGGCAAAATGGAGTCCAACTTAGAATTCTATACCTAGTCATACTAGTCATTAAAATGAAAAATAGGAGTGTTTCAGAAATTTGCCTCCCATGTTTCCTTTCTCAGAAAACAAGCAGAGTAAAAAGTCAACCAAAACAAGGGAGGAAGGTACTGGTCAAAAGAAATGGGAACCAAACAGAGGAATGAAGTGGGGGAACCCCTACCATTTGGTAAGGGAAATCCCAGGACGAGGCTGAGAGATCAGACATTTGAGAGAGAGAGAGCTTTGTCCAAGAAGATGATACCAAGAATACATGAAAATATTGAGAGGACAGTTACACCCTAATGGGAGACTTAAGGAATGAATCAATGCAAGCAAAAAATAAAACTAAGCAAATAAAAAAATGAACAATGAATAAGTCTAGGAAAATAAAATGTTCTACAGGACAGGGGATCTAATCATAGTACACTAACTCAGCTCTGATAATATTTACAGGTTATAATAAAACGAGAACTACATATCGAGTCAACCAACAATTACAATATAGCAAAATAAAAAAAAAGGGGGTGTGAATTTGGTGGAGATGGGGATACTGGGCATAAGAGGTACATCATCTTCTTCAGTACAAAATCAATACATACAGTTATTACCTAAAATTAAAAATCAGGAAATAACAATAAAAGCATGTTATTCCAGAATATGGCAGCAAATAAAGTAAACAGCTAAAGGAATAGAAGGAGTGCTGGCATGGCACAGTGGGATAAAGCACTGGACGACAAAGTTGGTTTGAACTGCAAGGTTGGTGGCTCAAACTCACCAGCGGCTCCTTGGAAACCTTACACACGGTTGGTATAAGTCAGAACTGACTTGACCGTACTTAAAAACAACAACAAAGGAAGAGAAAGTAGCTGCCTCTGAAGCAGGAAAGAAACAAGGGGCTTTTGAGGGGAATGGGAGGGAAGAGGGATCTACAAGTCTCATAGAACATGTCTCATATGACCATCTATAACTTTGATATTTCAAACTTAATTTGTACTCCTTAATGATTTTACCTATAAGGAGCTCTGGTAGCGTAGTGGTTACGAATCAGGCTGAGAACCTTAAGGTCAGCGGTTCGAAACTACCAGCTGCTCCGCAGGAGAAAGATGAGGCTTTCTACTCCCGTAGAGATTTACACCCTCGGAAACCCTGTACAGGGTCACTATGGGTCGGAACCGACTCGATGGCACTTAACAACAACAACAAATGATTTTGCCTATGGCTCCTAACTATGGCTAACACTATGCCTAGTAAACTGGCTGTCATCTGTTTTTCATATAATAAAATGTGATGGAAAAAAAAAAATCACAATTTTGCTCCATTATCTTCTACCTTCCATCATTATGTGAGGAAAACTGATGTATCTAAAACAGAATCTGCCTAGAGCATATCTTGGTAGGAAATGGATTTTACACTTTATAAAATGGACCCAACATATTTAGAGTCTATTAAAGGAGGTAACATTAAAGGTAAAAGAAATCACACTAGGGCATATAATACCAACACATTGTTCCAGATCAAATGCTCATAAACCTCCCCACTAACTATCCAGAGGATGGGCATCTACAGCCATGCCCGGAGTTTATGTGGCTACAGGTCAAGATTGTCTCTATTCATTCCACCACTAGTGGTTGAATGCACACTGGATTGGAGACTGTGTTCATACTGAACTTAGAATGAAAAGAGACCCAGGTGTGGCTCCTGAAGAACAGTACTCTGTCTGAGGAAAAAAAAAAAAGACTTGAAGACAAATCATCCCGATAGTGATTTATCATTTTGCTGTTTATTTTGGTATGGCCTGTTGAGAACGTATTCATTTAGCTCTTACATTGTAAAAAACAAAGAAACAAAACAAAACTCTAAACAAACTCTCAAAGGATTGCGTGCACTGTAACAGATGTGTGCAGGGGAGAAAAGAAAAAGTGACAAGTCAGCAGCAGAGAAAGAGCAATTCATTTTGGGAGTAGAACAATCACAGAAAAGCTTCTAAGAAATGGCATTTAAGTTGGATCGTGACGCATAAGAGAATAGAGTTTTGTCAAGTATAGTACACTAAGCTACAAGGCCAGTGTCATAGAAGACAAATCATTGAGGCCTGAAGCTTGTAAGATTCAGTAAGTTATTCTGTTATGGATATAAAAATTTAACTTACTTCCATCTCAACATCCTGCTGAAGCAAGATAAGGCACATCATTCTATAGAAAGGACTAGTTGCTTCTCTATATGTGCCCAGCCTGCTCACCCTCTATCATTATGGCTGAAATTCATTCCTGAATCTGATACTTCAAGGTGAAGAATATGTCACAGAGGCTTTAAATCTTCGTGGGAACAGAAAGCCTCATCTTTCTCCCTGGAGCGGCTTGCAGGCTCAAATCACAGACCTGTGGTTTGCAGTCTGTATGCAGCCACTGCGCTCCCGAATCTACATTTATTAGGGGATTACATAACTTGATACAGATTATGCTTAATAGCTGGAGTGCGTCAAGTTAAACTACTACTGATAAAAAATACCACTGAAATGTCTTCTATGAAAACTCTGCTTCAGCAATAAGAAAATGAAGAAAGGACTTTTAAGAGGCTAACTCTGTAATCATCTCACTAATTCCATTGCCATTTCGACAATGTCAAAGTCATGCCACTTAGTTATGATTTGTTGTTGTTGCTAAGTGCTGTCCAAGTCAGTTCCAACCCATAGCGATCTGCATAGGGGTTTCCATGGAGCAGATGATGGGTTTGAAATGCTGACCCTGTAGTAAGCAGTCCAATGCTTAATCTACAGTACCACACCAGGACCCCAAGCTATGATTTAGGGTGCCCAAACACAGCCAATTATAAAGAAGTGCCGTGTAATGGATTATACAGGTGAACGTAACCAAGTACTAAAACAATCCCAGGATGGTACAAGTGGTGTGCTATATTTTTGGTCTGGTTTAGAACAGTACAAGGAGTCCTGGTAGCACTATGGGTTAGGTGTTAGGTTTGTGGTTCAAATCTACCAGCCACTCTTAAGGAGAAAGATGAGACTGTTTGCTCCTCTAAAGATTTACAGTCTCCGAACCCTATTGAGGGTGAGCTGGAATCGACTCAGTGGCAGTCTGCTTGGGCTTGAGCTTAGAATAATAGTTGATCAGTTCTCAAATTTAGTATATCTCAGCATACTCTGTTAAAACACAGATTGTTGGGGCCTACTCCCAGAGTATCTGATTCACTAGGTCTGGGGTAGAGCCTGAGAGTGTGCATTTCTAAGACGTTTCCAGGAGCTACTGATGATGCCAATTTATAGACCACATTTTGCAACTCACTGTAATAGCAAATCCCCATAAGAAAAAAAGAAAAAAAAGAGGGGAATGTGGTATGAATGGACTTCAGTTTGATTGTAATGTAAACATGAATGAAATAGTGTTATACATGAAATAACTATGAACTTACTTAGAATCCATTTTGGTCACCTTCTTGGTGAAAAATTCATCTACACCTTCATCAACTCTCCCTATCAGACCATTCTGCTCCCCATCTTGCGGGACACTGTTGGCAGCACAGACCTGCAAAATAAACAAGCAAAATGTTCATTGGCATTTGGCAAACATTTATTACTAGGTTCAATGTGCTGTGATGAGGGCCATGAAAGGCACAAGACTGACTAAAATAAAAACCAGTGCTACTGAGTTGATTCTGACTCACAGCAAACTCTGTGTGTCAAAGTAGAACTGCAAGATCAGCGTTTCAAACCCATCACCATGTAGATTTTTCAGAAGTAGATCATGCATGAGGCCTTTCTTTTGAAGTGCCTCTAGGTGGATTAGAACCATCAACCTTTCAGTTAGCAGTCAAGCGTGTTAACTGTTTGCACTACTTAACTAAAAGGTCTCCTTGACTGAAACGAAGAGCTTGTAGTGCTGTGGGTCAGGTGTTGGGCTGCTAACCATCAAGCTTGGCAGTTCAAACCCACCAGCTACTCCTCAGGAGAAAGTTGAGGTTGTCTGCTCCCATAAAAGTTTATAGTCTCAGAAACTCTCTGTGTAGAATCACTATGAGTTGGAATCAACTCAACAGCAGTGGAATGTACTAGAAGTTGTTTGCACAATCGTAACACAAAGTAGGAAGAAACAAGACCTAGGGATGCACTGTAAACCAATGTCTGGAGGAAGATTAAGGCAGACTAATGGATCAGAAAAAGCTCAGACCCAACAGACTATGAAGAGTCAAGTGCTTCTAAAGGAAGAGGAAGACATTGTGGCCATATGGCAAGGGAAGAGGAAATGAATGAAAATCTGAAACTCACAATCTCATCTGAGGATGGTGATAATTCCAGTGGCCTGGGGTTTGAGGTATGTGGGTGGGGTTCATTGCTATAGTTTGACCCTGACAGACACTTCACAGCCACTCTCAAATCTTCTCCCTTGTTCCCTTTCTTGCTGGCAGAGCCCTGATTTCAGGATATGAATACTGACTGGCATACACTACACAGGAGTCCTTGGTTGATGCAAATGGATGACATGCTCAACTGCTAACTGAAAGGATGAAAGTTCGAGTCCACCTACAGGTGTCTCAGAGACAAAAATACCTGGCAATCTGCTTTGAAAGAACTTAGTCACTGAACAACCCACGTGGCATAGGTCAATTCTGATGCACAATAGTCAGAATTGACTCAACGTTAACTCGATGGGAACACAAACTGGAATAAGCCAAACACCATAATCCCATCGCCTTTGACTGATAGGCATTGAGTCATTCCTGGTCACTGAAACGTAAGAGGCAATCAGCTGGGGAGCTCATGGGAAGATTTTCCTGCAGAGAAGCAAGTGTGCTCTTCTACATGGTTATGTGAAGGAGGATGTGATGTCTGAGCTGTAGCAACCTTTTGGGGCTCATAAAGAGGTAAGTCTAAGGGCAAAAGCCAACATGCTCAGTAGGACAGAGCAGAAAGGTGGAAAATATCTGGGTGTTTGTGTCATGCTACTGAACTATCCAGCCTTGGATCTTGAGACTTTGGGACCAAATACCTTCTAGTTCCCCTGGTTAGGTGAGACAGCGCCTATCATTGTTTAAGCAACTTTTAGTTGAACATCTCATTACCACCAATTGAATACTCCCCACTAATAATGCAAGGGTCAATGGTGAACAGCCTCATATGCTATGCTAAGGAGTATAGATAGAACTTATCTTGTGAGTGGGTAAGGAGCCAACAAAAGAGTAGCATGACCCAAATCTGCATTTGAGGCAGGTAATTTTGAGGCCATATGGTGGATAGATTGGAGAGGCCAGAGAATCTAAGTAGAGAAACCACAAATTAAAGACTCCTGTAGAAGTTTAATCTGGAGACGAAGGGAAACTCATTAAGCACCTAAGTCAGAACTGGAAGGAAGAACTATCTAAGAAGTTAAAGCTTCTAGACTAGGTGAATGGGAAAATGGTCCTAGGGGACTCAGTCTAAGGATCAGTTTTGGGGATGAAGACATTAAATCCCATTTCAAATGCTTGAGTTTCCAGGGGCAGGAATACAGGGGCAGGAATCCAGAAAGCAGTTGCAAACCCAGATCTCATGAGAGAATCTGGTGACAAGCTGCAATGAAACTATATACCATGTTCGCATTTCTCTTTGAATGGACAATATACACTCACAGAAGAGAGCATGTGCACACTTGATTTGCTGACTGCAATAGTGTAGTAAGTTAATATTGCATGTAGATAGGCTGTGGACCCTCAAGAAGGAACATGTGTTTCACCCAGGCTGTCAGGTACAATGGTAAGTTGTCCTGTGGTTGGGATATCTGGTCTGGATGTTTCTCTATAGAATGGTGGGAAAGATATTTTTGGTAATCATTGATTTGCAAGTCTCAAGTTTCCTAAGGGAAACTTGGCTCTGGTCTGCATATGCAGTGCTCAAAGAAAAGAACAACCATTTGCTTTTAACAGTTATCCACTTCATTCCCTAGGAAACTCCATTCTGTAAGTGAACTGTGCATTTGAGTTCAGGTTTGTGAGACGTTGAAAAGTGAGTAGATACTAGACAAAAGAATCACATGAAATGTGAATAATACATACAATTATACGTCTCATCTGAATGGTGCTTTATAACTGGGGCAAGGGTTTCCTAGGTATTGCAACAGAATAGAGAATCAGCAAAGTTCTATAACTCAGTTATAGAGAGAAAAATAAACTCACTGGAAAGCTACTATTTTGATTACAAAAGGTAAATTATATAGAACTTTCTTGTCTTATCATTTTTTTTCTCTTTGGAAAAGAAAGGTGAATAGAATTTCTATCATAATAATAGTTTCTTGTATTTGGGGAGCAAGGTGGCCCCATACAATAAACACTGGACTGTGAACCACAGGTCCATGGTTTGAGCCCAGGAGCGGCTCAGTGGGAGAAAGATGAGGCTTTCTGCTTTTGCAAAGACTTAAAAGCCTTGGAAGCCCTATGAGTCGCTGTGAGTTGGAACCAATTCTACGGCACTTAACAACAACAATACTTGTATTTAAGTTTGTATATAAGAGGTTCCTGGGTGATTCACCTGCCCAAATGCTAACAAAAACTTTGAAGGTTCAAGTCCACTCAGAGGCCTGCAAATCTATTTTCAAAAATATCAGCCACTGAAAAACCTAAGGACTTCCTCAAAGACTGAAACTCAAAGGGAACACACGATCTGGCACGTGAAGTTCGCTGGTGACCACGTTGGTCTACTGGTGAGTGAAAGGGGGAAAGGCAGCAACGAAGTTATGGGCCCAGTTCGACCATATTCCATAGACTCCCGTCGACCTGGAGATGAGAGAGAAAAGGAGGGCTGGTTGGTATGGTGAGACCTGAGGACTCCTAAGTTCATGGACAAGGACCTAGCCACAGAGGGATAGAGTGGAAAGTGAAGCATCCAGCTAATATGAAGTGAACGGAGACACACAAGAATGCCCAAACTTGCAGATAATACCCATTTGACCTAGCTTCGATGGATTGATGATCAGAACTCGAACCAAGAAAGATAAAGAAATTTGATAAAGGAAATGTGTAAATTGCTACAAATTGATGAACTTGATCTATACTTATGGATGCAGTAGTTCAAAATGCCAACTGGGAGGGAAGGAGTCTTCACATCAAGGATCAAACCTATCCCCTCTGTACACAGGGTTGATAGGGATGGGCAACTTAGACATTGGGTACGTAAAATGGGGGTAAATAAAAGCATTAAGTGGTTGGCTTACAAGTTTTCAAGTGGGAGTTTAGTTTCAGAGTGTGGGGGAAGGTAGAATGCCCATTGAATAGTTTTCATCTTGTCTAGATGGGAGATGGGGATAAGATTCTTATGATTCAATAGTGAGTAATGGTTATCATGACAAATTGTGATTGTCACAACTGTAAAGGTAGAAGTTTTGTAACATAAAGGGGGGAGTAGTTCATCTTACATTCCAGAAACAGAGGACCCTAGGACCATCAAGGGAGCGAAATATGGGACCTTATCCAGAGAAGCAGCGACACCAAAGATGGAGGCAAAGATGATGATATTAAGAGATAGAGCATCTGAGGACTCTAGACTCATGGAAAGAGTATGCTGGTGGTCAGGAGGCAGGCTTGCAGAATGTGTCCTTGAGTTATTTAGATGATTATACATCCTTGAGTGTTTCTGTGTACATCAAAAAACAAACAAAAAAGAAAAAACTAGAGGGAATAGAAACAAATGATGTTGAATGGTGATGCTTAGAGGGGACTGTAATCATTGCAATGATACAAAATACAATAGGATCAGTGCAAAACTGATGTTCTCCCATGTAAACTATCACTCAATGCACAATGAAAGATTTTAAAAAGACCAAAACAAAACAAAAAACCCCGTTAGAGTACAGCTCTACTCTGACACATGTAGGGGTCACCAAGAGTTGTAGTCAACTCCACAGCACCTAGTTTAAAGTTTGTACAGAACTTGTGAGTTAACGTGTGTTTTGCATATTATTTCACTATTTATTATATCACCCCTGTAAACCACAAAGGAAAGATAGATTTACTCCAGTTTTAGTCACAGATCAAACCATGGATCAGAGGGTGAGGAATGCCCCCACTTGGTCACTGACAGACAATGAGAAAAGACAGAACTTGGGAACATGTGGTCCTCAAAGAGAGGCTCTTCTAAGCACACCCTGTTGTGCACCACCCCCCACGCCCCCATCTTCAGAGGCTTCTCCTGTAGTGACTCCCCTCCTACTTTGAGAGAAAAATTAAGTTTTGTTTGTATAATTTCTCCCATCAGTCCATTTCTTTTTTTCCTGCTTTGAAACAGAATTCACAGCTGGCACTAAAGATTCCCTAGGGACATGGAGAACATCAGTGGGCTTCAAAGACTGACATGGGACTCAACAAAGCACTCTGCTTTGCAGAACAGACCAGTGTTTTGGGCTGAACGGGATTTTCCAGATTCCCCAGCCCAACCCTGTCATTTTAGAGATAAAGAGCCTGAGAATAGAGAGGTTAAGAGAAGTCCACTATCACTGGGAGATCTTCAACAAAACACAGTTAAAATGCATCTGTTAAAACAGGAAGCAGAAGGTGGCAC